GAGCGTCACCCATATTTAGGTGATGGGGCCCCCACGGAAGCATACTAGTCACCCAGATATGAGTGACGCAACGACGAACGTGTTAATACTAAAGCCTACCATGGTCTAAGTTATGCCAAAAATTGCCAAGTGCCTTGATTAGAACTACGCGTGAAATATCTAAATAAAAGGATGTCTTTTCTGAATTTTGACAACGATGGTATCACCGAGCTTGGAAAAATATAAGAAAAGCTTCGAATTGTTATATATTAATTCCCTAAACATTCTAATATCGATGCTCTTCTACTAAAAGGTAGCTGTACCATTAAAAGAAATTTGGAAATTCGTGCAAGACAGCGTTGAGAACGACGCACTGAGGGAGTGGAGAGAACCTACCTTGAGTCGCTCGGTGCAACAGGGCATGGCAGCAAAGATATCGTAGCTGTACATCGTGCCAAGGACTAAGCTAGACCCGTCCCACGTCTGAGTACAGCAACGACAACGCACGGGCTGCCCACCGCTGCCTTCCAGGCAACTCATGCACACCGCGGACAAGAATTGCGTGCGACCTTCCACCTTAACCTGGAACAACGATCGCGGGGATATCGGTTCAGATTTATCGTCCAAGTTCACGGTCGTTCTGCTCTCGCCTCGACTATGTCCGTCTCGCGGAGACGTGACTAGAGTTTCGCAGTCGTGGGCGGGAGAGCCTACTAAAACATTCCCATGGAGTATCTACGGGACTGACGAGATGAAATTTCGACTTACCTCGGCACAGGCGGACGAGTGTTGTCTCGGTGACAGGAAGAAGGTGCCGTCCACCAGAGGATACCTGTCGAAAACGAGCATGGGTGCTCGGCAAAGGACACAGGATACTCTGGACCACTGCAGCGCGGCCAGCGTCGACAGGATGAAGCATCTGGTGTCGTCGTTGCCATGATTGCCCTCGTCTTCCATCTGCAACAAAGAACGGCGAATCGTGAGCGAGCTTCGACAACAAGCTCTCTCCCTCTCTCGAGAGAGAAGAGAGTACACGGTCGATTAAATCTGCTCGACGAGTAAGAAGGGATGAAGGCATAAAACGCTAAGGCCTCGTCGATGAACCGAATAAAAAGCATTTTCGTGCGCAATCTCGTTTCCGGCTCCGTCGTCGGGGTCGATAATTTAAACGCGGAATTACCCGTTTGCCGACTCGTGCAAACACCGATAACGTCGAAACAACCAGACTAAAGGGTAAACTCGCTGGGATTCGGAACGAAGCGAGAATTACGAGCAGCGGGATCGCAGGGGTGGTCGCGGAGGGCCAGATACGCGCGGAAATATGCCAAAGGGCGCGCTGAATCGGGGGTTGAGAGTGTCTTCGATAGGAAAAGAAGGCTATCTTCCTAAACTGGAACGGAAACGTGCCAAATGTCACGTTCTTAATGAGGAAGAAAGATGGAGGGGAGAAAGAAGGTTTCTACGCGGAGACGACAGGAAATGAGAAGAAAGGGATTGGCACGGTGTAGGCGCAACGGGTGACTGAGTAACGAGAAAATTAGTGGGCAGAGAGAGAGAGAGAGGTTAAGGTCGGGATAGGAGGATTTTCTTTGGGTGACGGGGATACGCTTTCGACCAACAGACATTTACAACCGCGATAAATACTCCTCTCCCTGCCGTTTTTAACCCTGGGACCAAGAGAGCAGAAGCTAAGAGACGTAACGTAGCACGGATCGTTTAACCTTTCGGGATACGAGGACGAAATGATTCCGAATTATCGGACAGATAAGCCTATTCGGGTTTCCTATTCCTAGATTATTCCCAAATTGAGAGAAGAAGGCCAGAGAGCTCGAAGAATCCCGACGTCCACAAAGTTCGCTATTAGATCCTCTAGATCCTCTGCGGCGCCAGCCCTCGAGAAGCCAAGGACGGGGTCGGATCACCACGTCCTTTGGCCGATCCCTTATTACACCCCGTGATCCTTATCCCCGAAAACTTGATTCCCACGAGCCCCTATTACAGTTCCCTAGGAATTCCTGCGAAGTTTAGCTCTCCGCGTCTCCGCACTCGCGATCCGGCCTCGATTAAAAATCTATTTGCACGCCAGCCACTCTCCACCGTGTCTTCACCGTGTCTAGCGTGTCTACCGTGTCTGCCATGTTTCCACCGTGTGGTCCGATGTGTTTTTGATCATCTTCCAGGCCAACAGGATCGCCTGGAAGAGCGACGCGAAGGAGATCCCGAGTCCTCTGCCATCGTCCCTGAATATTCTCTATCGGCACGATCGAGGCTAGAAGATTCTTCGAACGTGTAGCCACGTCTACGAACAGCGAGCGGTTGATCGAGTGGCTGGAAGATCCGCTGAAAGAGGGACAGGACGAGCCTAGGAGAGTAGGAGCCCCGAGGATCGAGTCGCGAAGAAGCGGCTGAAAAAGGGAGGCTCGTTGGTGTACGCAGAGAGCCTCGTGGTACTCGACGAGGCAAAGAAAGGAGAGGCAGGTCTCTCTTTCCTGGCCTGTCCATCCAGACTGAAGGGAACGGACCACACTAACGCCACACGTCCATCCGTCCATCCGCGCAGCTCGACCATAGGAAGCACAGAGCCGAAGAGGAGAGAAGAGAGAGGCCTCGTGTTTCAACGGCTCGAATAAATAAATTGGATTGGTCTGGCAACTTTTCCAGCCGTTCCCGCTGCAACTGGAAACTGATCGCGCGTGGGTCGATCCGTGGGAGAAGCACTTCAACTTTTTACGAGTTCGATTAGAGGCTCGAGAGCCGGGAGAGAGAGAGAGAGAGAGAGAGAGAATGCCGGGGCAGAGGCATTGTGCCTTCGTCGGCGCGATTCTTTTTTACTACCCCCTGCGCGCAAGTCTTTCGAAGGAAAACGGATTTGGTTGTTTGCCGAGAGACAATTTCCTGAGATACGTAATTAATGTCCCTGGGCCGGCTTTTAATCGAGCTACCTCGCCGTTCTATCATTTCCACGGAAGAAAGAGCAGACAAAGAAATTAAGGGCGGGCAGAGTCGAAATTACAGGCGCCGGGGGTGAGAAAGTCCAGAACGCGTTTAATCGCGACGAGAAATTCCTCGCGACAAGAGGCGAACGACCGATAGCCAGGGAAAATACTGGGAAAACGAGGAGAAAATGAAGAGGAAACAAAGAGGAAACAAAGAGCAACTGCCATCGATGGGATCGTTAGGTAAATACGGGACAGGGCGAGAAAGCCGAGAACGATTGCAAGGGATTTCTCACCCCCGAGGTTGATTCGAGGTCGACTAGTCCGGAAGAAGGAGGCGAAGGTCGCCGTCCAATGCGGATAATTTCGTCGCCGCGGCTAAAAGGCCAAGGGGTGAAAGGAAAGCGAAGCGAAAAAAGAAAGGGGGGCACAGGGGCGGGGGGCGAAAGCGTGGAGGGCATAAATCGGTGCGTATCGTCTAAGGGGTGGAGCGTGACGGTCGGTGGATTACGATGCCGGCGTCGCGGATTATCGGAATTCAATAATACCGACCGGTACAAATAAATATAAAAATCGGCCCGGGGTACACGCGCGCGCGTCAGCGAGCCCGCTCCGTCGCCGAAAATAATAAAGCGGAGGAAACGAGCGGAAAGAAAAGAAGGTCGACGAACTCGTAAACGACCCCAAGGCTTCCGAGCTTTTCTGTAAATTTTATAACGCTGTAAAGCCACGACCGAGTTCGATAAATATGGTACTCTCCCTTCGCGTGGATCCAGCGGCACCCGTTCTCTTCGTCAGTCGCAGTTCAGCGACGCCGCGAGAATCCTAGATGGCGCGCCCGGCGCACTCCATCTTGAAACCGCGCACGGCGGAACCATACGCGAGATAATGACCGGAAGTGCCTCCGATACGTTCAGCCGTGGACGTTTTACGACGGTCCACACACGTCGGGATAAAATTCCACCGTTTCCAAGTTGCAGCGCAGCTCGGAAATGACCGGCAACGGGGGACGTTATTGAAAATACAGAGATGGTTTGTTCTTTTTACGCGGCGGATCGGGGAAAGCAATTTCGAAACGAAGAAACGAAGCGGAAAGGGACACGTAAAGGGGAAGAGACGCGAAGAGAAACGGTGGAAAGTAAAACGTACTACCCAGGGATTTGTCAAGACTCTCCTGCAAGGACGCTCTTATTTAGACCTTAACGGCGTAGTCGAGCGGCCATAGGTCCCGGGACGATAAAGCTCGGTTATATAGACGAGCATAAAATTCGTTACGATCGGCCTCGGTTTGCTTCCGCTTTTGTCCCTACGGCGAGAGCGTCTCTAAATATACGTGGAAGGGCACGGAGTGAAAAAAGGAGAAGAAAATATCGGCGGTCTTAATCTTTCATTTCCCGTCCGGAGACTCTTTCGGAGTTGGAGGCCGCTGGACGTAGGCCGGTGCCGCAAATCGTTATGGGTTTAACCTCTCGTAGCTGTGTGCTACAAAACTAGGACGTTGAATGGGAGGGAATGTACAATGGTCGAACCATAGAAGTTCACTGGAGCAAAACTGCTAGCCGGAAACCTTACGCTCGTCGGGGCCCACTGCCACGAGCTATCGAGTTCTATAGAATCTTCGAGGATTCTTCGACCCTAATCCCCCTTCATAAAGGTTCGCGAGTCTTTTCCTCTAATCCCGACCTGTCCCGTCCGATGCACGAGCAATTCGTTACATCCACTCCGAGCGAAACCCAAACTTTCCCCGAGCGAATCTTCACGAAATGCCTCATCGTCATCACCGATGGCAGAAATGGTCATCGGAGTCCTCCGTTTTCCCTGCGGTTACCTCCATTCGTCCTAACCGAACCCAAACTCGACGACAACCTTCGCGAAGGCTTAGAGAGTCCTCTCCTGTCCCCCCCGTGGTGGCACAAGTTTCTCCTTATGGAGTTCCGTGAACGAGCCCCACACTGCTGGCTCGCCGACTGCCATGAAACTTGGCGCGACAACAGTCGATAACTATCCCGGCGAAGACGTAAAGACAGCCGCGAGTGAGTAGCAAACGTACCCGAGCAACTCTCGGTACACAACAGCGGCACGGCACAAAGAAAGCTTATTAAGAGAGGCTGCTGCCGCGTGTTTTGTCGACAAAAATGCCGCTTCGCCTGGAGAACTTCATCCAGGCTGGGCAATTCCCCTCTCGCGTCCTCGTAAATACAGAAACGAACGAGTGGGTGGATCGTTGCGCGAGCAGTTAACGCGTGTAGCGAGGGTTCGCGAGCGTCTTCGAGCGACTAGCTCCGTTCGAGGGATTTACGAGCTTCGGGACAAAGGACGCGAGTACCGAGCCATCGCTGGCGCGTGTCTCCTCGAGTGGAAAAAGGAGCAGTGAGAGAGGGGGTGCAGCGGAGGCTGGAGACGCGATAACCGGGACCAACTCCCCCTTTCGCCGATCCACCCCCGATACACCCTCGCCCGCTTCTTTCTATCGCCTGGCGCGAAAACTTTTTCGTTTTTCCCTCGTCCTCGAGGGGGAGAATCCTTCTTTTTCCACTTCTTCTTCTTCCTCTGCTTCTTCCTTGGTCGACCGTGTGTCACAAGCCTGACTGACCTACTGTCGCTCTCGAAAGGAAGAAAGCTCTTTTCTCTCCCCGTCGTGCTCCTTCACGCGTGAAAATAATCGATGCCGATTCTCTGCGAGCAGGCTAAAGAGACGTCCCCCCGTTTTCGGCCGGGGGCTTAACGCGCCCGTTCACGACCCAGTGGAGACCCACCCGCGATTTCTCCGGGACAGATCGTAGCCTTAGCTTTCAATGGGCGACGAGTTGTCGCGTATTTTCTACCACTTACGATTTCCCGGGGGAACTAGTCGAGTGCGGATCGAAAAATGGTAATGCCGACGATCCATCCAGCGTGTTTCCTGTTCTCCAACCCCCGCGCTGCACCCTCTCGCGGTTCGATACGCCGTGATCGAACAAAGGCCACCGAGTTCTCTCCGTCTTATTGCCTAGGTATTAATTAATACCGTATTATCCCCGA